CGCGGCGCCGAGCCCGGCCCCGCCGCGGGCAGCCAGCCCCTCCCGGCCGAGGGAGCCGACACCAAGACCTACTTGTGGGCCAGGTACCACGAGATGAAAAAGCTGGTCTACGGTAAGGGCCGCCTCCGGGCGCGGGGACTGCCACGTCCTGCCGGCCTTGGGCTTTTTCCTTTCTTCTCTCCTTTTTTCCCCCGCTTTGCGTCTCGGTGCCTTTCCCCGCGCTGCGGAACTAGGGACGTGCCCATCGCTCTGCAGCCGCCGGGGTTAGAAGCCTTCTCCCTGGCGATGCCATCTGCGCGCCTCCATCGCCCGGGGCCCTCTGGGACGGTTTTGTTTCTATCTGTCCCTGGTCTTCCCCTCCCCATCCCGGGCTTCTCTCTGTGAACATCCCTCGGCTGGTCTCAGCGTTTCAGGACATGCGGAGTATGTGGGGTTCTTCACTCACAACTGGCCCCCCTAGCATGGATATCCTCATGGTGAATGGTCTAAATGAAGGGCTTGTTGCATTTTTCTCTAATTTGCCATTGGTTGGCGTACGGAAAGGTGGTTAGACGAGGACAAGTAGACAGTCACGCCGACTGATGTGGTGAGGAGTCCAGGGTCCAACTTGTAACTCGCCATTGGCACAAGGGTGAGCATGGAGAAGGCCGATGCTACAGCTGCGAGGGTGTCTCCTGATCCTGAGCTCAGTTTGTGTTACAGATGCAAAACACTTTTTACTTATGTGTGTGCGCGCGTGTGTTTTTGCTCCTCTGACCGAGAAGTTACCTGGCTCTGTCAGGTATGTTGACATCTTGCTAAGTGAGGAGAAAACTCACGCCACTCACCAAATCTGTCCATGCGTAAAACAGGATTGTGGTCTTTTTGGCAGCAGCAGATCTCCACTGTATTAAACTCTCCTAAAAATGTGAAAGAATAGCTTTCATGGCATAAGGGTAGGGAACTTTTTCCTGCTGGTTTCTTGATTCTTGGAATGCTGAAGGTGAGCACTGTAGAGAGCTAGGAAGTGTGACTTTGTGTCTGCTGTTAAATAGCTCTCCGTTAGCTTTTGTTTATCTAAGGGTTTGGAGAAGGGTTGTAGCCAGCCATAGGCATCTGGAAGAACCGTCTCGCTGTTCTGAGATTGGCAAGTTCTGTCATTCCTTCCTTCCCCACCTTCCAGTACATGAGAATTTGCATAAAATCTGAAGTCCTTCATGATGCACAAATGTAAAGGAATTGGCCGCTGATCCCTTGGGTGCTCAGCCGGCTGCATTCCAGCTTTTGCAGGATGTGAGCTCCTTTGCCTGAGCCGCTGAAGGCAGTACAGGGTGCTGACAGAGGACAGTAGCTCCATGTTACGTCCCTGCTCCAAGACTGAGTTGTGGTTTTAGCCCCGCTGCTTGAAAGAAATTCCAACTTGCAAGAGTTGTAATGGTGTTTGGACCTGAGTATCCTCAACGGCATTTTTGTTCTTTTCCATAATAGTATTGAAACCGTAAACGAAGTTATGTTAATAGGCTGCATCATGGTCTCTTGGGGAAAATGCTTACTTCACTCTGACAGATTGTGAAGCTTGTATTCACATAGTTACACTTTGTTGGAATGCAAGAGATACAGTTGTTGCTGGAGATGGAGAACTAACCAGCAGGACTACATGCAAAATGAAGTCAGGTGAAGTAGCCCGTGTGTTACAGAGCAGACTCTTTATGAACCTTCAGGTAACTATTAGACATGTTAAATAAGAAGGCCCTTGTTTGTTTAAAGAATAGCTCCCCAAACCAAAATTTCAAGACTGTGCTGTTATTCAAGTCTTGTCAAGAAGAGGCATAAAATGTTGGTCCAAGTTGGTTTTAATTGTTGCTTTGACAACTAAACTGAGTTGTGCAAAATGTGGCATCAGTCCGTTCCTTTGTTCTTGATTTCTAACTCTGATGTAAAAGTGAATGTCTGTGGTTGGGTTATGGATTTGAATACGTCGTCACGTCTCAATACTGATCAATATTGAGTTTGAGAAGACTCCTGTGGTGCTACCTTCTACCTCCTTCTCTGAAACTCCACCTTCGTGGAGTACAATATAGTACTTTGTCCTATATTGTCAGTTATTGCTGTTGGTTTTGGAGAGAGGTCTCTGCCAGGAGAATTGATTATGCGTTTTCAAACCAGCTCTTGCTTAGGACCTGATTTATAGAGCAATGTTACATTTTTGCATAGAGGGGCTTCCAGTGATAAATGCTGACCAAGTTGGACAGGGCAGGATGTGTAGGAGCTTCTGTGCAGTAAAGCTCAGTGGTGGTACTGGTTTGGTGGCCAGAGCCCAGTCACCAGAAGTTCTCAACTTTGTAGAAACGTATCTGTGTTCTGCCAGGCCTGAGTGTGGTGAGACAAACAACACTTCATTACCTGTAAGAATTTGAGGCTGCTACTTCCACTTAATGTGTTATTTTTTTTTTCCTCTGCCAAAAGGAGAGGTATAATTGCATTTGTCAGAGGGGTGGTGTTGAGCAAGACCTGCTGTGTTTTGGTTTGATGGTATCTGAAGTGTCAAGGAAGGCTGATACTCTCTCTTAGCAAGCAGTGTCTGAACTCCTGCACTTTAGGAAACATCCAATCCTGAAACTCAATGGAACTGGCAAGCAAGTGAGGATTTGGCTGTAAATAAGTGTATATGTTTTTTCCTAGATCTTTCAAACTTGAAAACGTAGCTACAATAAATCAGCTTTCCTAAGGAACCTTTAAAATAACTGTTAACTTCTTGCCTCTGCATGATAAGCTTGAGCATGGTTAGATGTGAGAACTACTGAGAACAGAGACAAGTTTGCAGATAACAAGAACTTGGTTAGGCATTGATAACACCGAGGATGTCGCTCAGAGGTAGTCCTTGCTCTTTTTAGTTTGTGTGGATCAAGAGATACCTTTGCATCTAAGTAATGCAAGACGCAGTCAGCAACATGTGCCCATCGCATTTGGAAATGGGAGAGAAGGCGACACCCCTGTGTGATCATTGCATTGGTGATTCTGGTGTGGTGCACAGGTGGTTTTTGCAATCCAGCACATTTTGATTCTGCTTGTGTCGCTAATCTCCAGCAGGCACAAAGATTTAAGGGCCTCACTCTTTGCCAAACCGGGAAACGAGTCTACTGCTATGATAATAGATGCCCTGCGAATCGCTTAGGGAGTGTGCACGTTTCACGAGTTGCGGCATGTACAGATTGAGCTGGGACTGAAAATGACAATTAGCAGCGAGAACTGGCAGTGCGACCAGTTACGTTAACTTCCAAATTCTGCTTTCCTAAACATAAAGGTTTTTTTTCTTGTAAAGAACTGTTATACCAGCATTTGTCTAGTACCTTTGCGTATATAAAAAAATGTTGTTTTGGAATGAAATGATATTTTTTAGTATTGCTTTTGGTTTGTGTAGATTTCGTTGGTGAGAAATCCCCAAATATTTAGGCATAATGGCATAAATTCAGGACTATGCTCCAGAGTAATTTTCAACACTCTTTTAACGTGGTTCCTCTGTCATTTAATGCTCTTTAAGTAATATTTCCCTCTCCCCGCCATCTTGTTAGAGGCATCTACTTCGGCTGGTTAGAGTGCTTTGCAGGAATTGCTGTGAAATGGTACAAAACAATACTTCAAAAGGATGAAGAGGTACTTGGAAGGGAGGAAAAACTGGCAGTTTGACTTTAGAAAGCAAGTCAGTGTGAGCAAAGGGAACTTTTTGATTCATGAAGAACGTGGAGGATGGTGGCCATCTGCTTTTCAGTATCGCTCCCTTGCTCGCTAGTCTTACAAAGAAGTTAGCGCAGATGTCTGCTGTGTTGGACCTCCGGGAGTACAAAGGGTGTGAGAGATGGGTGTGAGACGCCTTTTTTGTGTATTATTCTTCACTAACATGCTGGATCTGAGGCTGAGAGAAAAGGAGCATTTCCTGCGTGATGCCGTTGGTACCCCCGGGAGCTCAGAAAAGCACGGGATGTGCTTGGCACCTCCTGACTGGAGCGTTTTTCACATCAGAAGGGGCCATATGGTGTCTTGGCGTCTCTAACCGTTGCTCACAGTTAATTACCTGCTTTTGTTTCCATCTCTGCTGTCATGTTGGAGATTGAGTGTTATTGCTTTCTAACAATGTGGGCTGTTGCCTGGGAGGAGGCACTTGTGCTCTCGTGAAGATACTCCAATTTAAGCAGCTGTTCAGGGCCTCATAGCAGTAAAATGAAGGCAATGATGTGTGTTTACCTTGCATTTACACCTAGGTGTAAAAAAATAAGCATGAGATCAAACACGCTTTCTTGTGGTCTGCCTTTGTTGCCGAGTTTCATCATGTACCATGGCTATGCAGACACTTCCCTTAAAACCGTCACAGTTGCAAACCGGAGCAAATTGTGCAAGTATGCAGATTCCAGGGGTTTGTATCTATTGCAAGAGCTGTTTTTTCCCCACTGTCCTCAAATGTACGCACATCGGTTCTCCCTTAGATCATACTTCCTGGGTGAAGTGCTGAGCAGACAGTGACTAACTGTGATACTGTCTCCCTTTCCAGTTAGGACCCAGATGGCAAAGAGTAGTTGGGATTCTCATTCTTTTTAAATAACCAAAACTGGTTTTCATTTTGTTTTTTTTCTTGCTGTAATTTATCATATCTGTCCAGCAATCTGTTTCAGTGTCTTGGCAGAGGAAAAGCAAAAGCTATCATTCCTGAAAAATGGCATCTTCATGGGCTTCTGGAGGGTGTCATCTGTTTGTTTTGACTCGATGATCGCCATGCAAACTGAGGCAAAGATCCCTGGCAGATTATGTGCTGAATGTCAGCAGAGCAGCAGCGCCCAAGTCCGCAGCCCAGGACTTAAGCACTCAGAATTGGTAACCAGCCAGGTGATTATATTTTTTAAAAAAACAAACAAACACAAAAAAGCAAACCAAAACAAACAAAGAAACAAAACCCCGAACTTCTTGAAACCTGGTTCAGTAAGCCATGCTTGGGCTCTCGTATTGAAACTGATCTTGCACATGCTCCCAGCTTCTGTCTCTTCCCTGATGTAGTTTGAACCTGTGGAGAGACTGCGTGAGCATAAAAAGGAGGCTGACACCGGCAGCTCCGTTGAGGAGGGTGCTGCAGACGGACATTTACACTGAGCCAAACGTGCAGCATGAGTCTCTGGACTGAAACCCGGAGTTTTTTCCTTCTCTCTAGGAGATCAGTGACTTTGAAACTACTGTAAATTTAAGATGATGGGCGTGGAAAGAACAAGCTGTCAGCAAGCTGCTGCAAGTTTGGTTTGGTGACGATGATGTGTGATAGGAAACACAGCAAGCAGATGTGCAGTGGTCCAGGAACTGTGCGTAGGGAACACGTTATGTGTGAGGCAATGGTGATAAAGCGTTTTGGCTAGCGTATGCATCTTTCTTCAGCCCTTATGAGGTAAGAGAGAACATGCTGTTAAAGTTAGTGACAAAATGTCTGAGTGGGGTAAAATGACCTGGGCAGGAGGCTGTCAGAGGACAGCAGAGAGGCTTTGTATGTTTGAGGCTGGCAGGGAGGAGTATGACTTCATCCAGTGGGTCTAAATATACTTCATAGATCATACTGTGTGGCACAGTTACTGCTTATGCTTCTGATCACAGATAAGACTTGCTTCATGCGCTTCGCAAATCTCAGACTACCCTTTACTTGTTACAAAATCATACCACTCCCTTAGCTTTTCCTATTGTATTTTTGCAAAAGTTGTGGCTGGTGTATGTTGTTGAATCTAGATGGGTCTTGTGTCTTCTGTGAAAGGAGAGATGGGGCTCAGTCAATGGTATTTTGCACTGCTCTCAGGCTGTCAAAATGTGTTGTCATAAATCTGTTAGCAAATGGTGAATGTTGGAAGAGCTTGACACCTCTATAGGGAAACGGTAGCAGCAAGTGGGGTGCATTTGTCGTAAAAAAAAAAAAAGTGCTTTCATTAGGAGAGGAGAGCACTGCATATTTGCACTGTGATGTGATTGGGGTTGTGTCATTTTCCTTGTGAGGAAGAAAAATAACACCCTGCAAATCCCAGTGTATGCTTAGAAAAAGATCTTCCCACAAGTTATCTGGAGGTAAGGACAGGAAGTTGAGCACTGTTTGTTTATGGTGCAGAGAGCATTTATGATGAGAGGATGAAAGTTGTGATCATCTGAATCCTATTTACGTTTCCCATCTTTTAAAATCCCAGTGGAAGGTATTCCAATTGCGTTCACCCTCTTCAGCCTCTTCCAGGAACTTTGCCACCAGCAGAGTCACTGAAAGAGGGCTCTTGTTCCTGCTGTGTAGCCAGTAAGTCAGCCCTACCTTAAAATACTGCTTTCTTTTCTAGTAGTTACTCTCTAGTTGATCTGGTGAAATGTGTTTGAAGGGCAAAGGAAAGCAAGTTAGGAGAGAGGGATAGGTATGTTTTGTAATGCATCTCTCCCCTGAAAAATAAGTATTATGATATATCTGAATCCTCTGTTTCTTCGGTCACCTCTTGGGATTAGTGCTCGCAAATGTACTTTGGACTTTTACCTAAATTCTGTAATCTTTCTGGACAAAGTCTTTATTGGGAATGGCTGGTATTTCTTTCTAATAATATTTTTTTTGTTCTAGATTCAGATGAAACTTGGTTTTATAGCAAGGAAGCACTAAAGAACTGGCACAGGGGTTCTTGCTAAAAGCCAAAAGTTAAGGTAGGAAGGGAAAGAAAAAATCCTACCTGCTGATGCTGTGTAGGATCTGGAAAATGTCTGCACTTTTCCTGTCATTCAAAGAGAACGTTAGCTGTCTTTGAGGGGGGGAGTAAATGTCTCCTTCCCCTCTCTGTCCCCCCGTGTGGATGTGACTAGGCAACCTACTACAGGGAACTATTTTTATTGCTCTTTCTCATCTTGCAATGGACAGCTCTTGTGGGGCGGGAAGCCTGGGGAGGGTCTGTTCCTGTCTCTCCCATTGTAGTGCAGCTAAAGCTCTCCGCTCTCTAGACTAGCTCTGAAAAAGGATATACAGGTATATCCTGCTAGGTCGCTTAACCCCCATTTTCCCAGTGGTCTGGGGAGCAAAGTGTTATTCACAAGCATCTTGAACAGTAACCCTGTTTTGAAGTGACAAACCACATGCAAGGACTGAGCTGTTTCCACAGCTGTTTATCAGAGGAAAGCAGATAACTTGTTGCTATCAGCATTACGTGCTCCAAGAGCGTAGCTTAATGTGGGTTTTTTTTTACATTTTGTTGGTGCTTGTACAAAACCTTGTTTTATCCTGCCCATTAATAATAATAATAATAATAATAATTTAAAAAGCCCTAACGGTACCTGCAGGGTTGGTCTGTGAAGTCTGGCTGCTTCTGTGAGGAAAAAATGCCAAAAGGCAAACCTCAAAATTCCTAATTTGAAGTAATCTAGATTTCTCAAAGAGGAGAGTTAGCCTGTTTGTCTTGCTCAATTTTTAAGTGAGGGGCGCATGTTTTTCTTGTGATATATTGCAGCTACCTTTCACGTTAGCAAGCCTGCTGAAAATGCAGCTGCTGTGAGCTAGAAATTTGACACTTCAAAGTCTCGGATCTGCTTTGCTTCATGTAGGCCAGAGACCCGAGGACATTGTTTTGCAGCTTCCTGACACAAAAGGTCAGTCTTACTGTGAAAATGGTTAGCACCATCACCAGACACAGCCAGAGGTTTCACAGTGTGCTTTTTCACGGGGAGGGTTATTTGAGTGGGTTAATGGCAGCAGTCTTTGACAGCGGCACTGTGCTCCTCTTCTGCTGCTGTGAGGTACTTCCAGCTGCTGTCAGGTCCAGAACAAAAAGTTGAAATTTCAGTGATCCTCTCAGTTTCTCTAACCTCTCCCCTTTCCCTTCTCTTAGATCTCCTTCCACCAGGAGTCTGCAATCTCCTCAACCCAGCCGCTATCTACGCTAACAATGAGATCAGCCTGGGAGATGTTGAGATATATGGCTTTGACTACGATTACACATTAGCACAGTATTCTAATTTACTACACTCTATGATTTTCAACACTGCCAGAGACATCCTAATAGAACAATTCAAGGTAATGATGTGCTAAGAATTTCCACTCAATTAAGCTTACTGCTGTCTTTGCGACACCCCAGACGTGCTTGCAAAATGCCACATTGTGCACATGTATCAATTAGTTGTTTCATTGAGATAAATTTTATGTTTCACAATCTTTGATTGCAGAAGTTTTGCCTGTATGTGGAATTAATTTCCTTTGAGACAATTTACCGTGCTCTACATTCCTGAGGTTTTATAAATATGGAGCGGGAACCTTAGTCTAGAATGGTCTGGTCTGTTTTACCTAACTATGGAAATAATGCCTACAGAATCGCTGGTTCGAGGTACACATGGTGGATAAACATGGACCGTGGGCCAACACTGAAGCCGTACAGGACTTGACACGTGCAAGTCAATGTGGATGACGCTGTATAGCATATCCAATAATGGACACCCTGTTTGCAATAGACGACTAGTCTGTGTGTTTTCTTCTTGTCACGTCTTTCTTTTTAGAGGGGCTCTGCAGTGCCACTGCTTTGCCAAATATATGCATCGAATGGAGCTTACTAGAAGTGTCGTCACTGCCTGAGTGAATCTGTTACTTTTTCTCTAGTGTCCCTTACATGAGAGAAACTAATTTTGGGGATCCTGATTCTTTATGTCTTTCTCCATTCATCCAATTTCTTTGCTGAAGGGGCAAAATGAAGTGCACCTGTTCCTTGGTCAGCTTATGCCTGGGGTGAGACCACTAGGAGGACTAAGCCAGCTCAACAGGTGAAAGAATTTTGTTGATAACCCAATGCTTATGCCTCTAACGATGTCGCTGTCTGTCTTCCCAGTATCCAGAAGGGCTTGGGAAGTATGACTACATTCCAGGGTTTGCCATACGTGGACTTCACTATGATGTACAAAAGGTAAGCTGTACAGAGTTCAGTCTTCTGGGCTTTGTCTTCCATTGGGTTATGTTTTTGGTGGAAATACTTTCTGTCATTGCTTACAATACCGTCGATCACCACACTATCAATGAAATACATAGTCCGGGTGGCTGTGCTTTTCATTGCGAGGGTTCTTCTTGCTTATAAACCTTCCAAGGGAAAGATGTCTTTTGTGTTTGCAAAGCCTCTAGCAGAATGGGACGTTCTAGCAAAGACCTCTGGTAAATAGCCTTGCCAATTTAAAAGTCAGTTAATTCCACAAGCTTATTAATAAAAAAACCTCAGCTTGTTTGTGTGATCATTTCTGTCTTTCAGGAAATTTAAACAAACCTCAATCCTGCATCTACAAGTACTTGCCAGGAGCAGAGGCATTATGTCTTACTCTAATAATAGAAATGACTTGTCAGGAGAACCTTTAGGAAGCCTTCCCCACCCCCCACTCCGAATAATAGGACTGCTTGGAAAAAGATCCAAGCTACTTGAGATGCATGCTTCTTAGAAGCACAGGCAAGCAAAGTGCAAGCATTAGCTTTAACCCTTTTCAGTACTTTGGATGGATTCCCTGAAAGCCTGATGCCCAGTGATGTAATGCTGGCTGCTGCAGCCAGGCAGTCAGGTGGGAGCAGAGCAGAGAAAGTTGTTTCACCCTAGTAGCTTTTCTTATGTTGAGCTTTGAGCAAATTCAGGGAAGCAGGCGGTACAGGCTGGAGTCTGCATGCGGATCTCCAGCAGTGGGGGGCGGGGGGGGGAGAGAGAATGAAGAAAAAAAACTATATAGAGTATTCCTGTGTCTTTTGTCCTAACTGAGGTGACAGCGTGGCAGCAGACCGCTCATGCCTCTGACTTTACCAAGTAAGAAGTAGATCTGTGAGAAACTGAAGTTTCTTTCTCTGTTTAAATCTCTGGCTGATAGATCAGAGGAACACAGAGGCGACTAGCCTAGCCAAGCAAAGCGCCCTTCGAGTGAGTAGGTGAGAACTCTATTTTCTCAGGGTCAGAGTTTGCAAAACATATGAAAAACTGGGTAGTGCCTCTCTAAGTAAATCTTTCAGCATATTTGCCTGCACTCCTCACAAACTAGTGGGAGGTCTGCCCACGGTGTAACAAGCTGCACTAATATGGTGTCATGATAAAAGAAGGTGCCTGAAGGTTGTGAATGCTCTATGGAATCAATTACCTTGCACTGTGGTAGAAACAGCACAAATAGTTTGATGCTGTGTCCTTATTCGAGTTGCAGAGTGATGTGGGTTTAGTGTGAGGCTGCTTTCTATGCCTTGAGAACTTGTGTTATGGCTTCAGAATGATGGATGGAGGAGAAGGGATGACTCCTGAATAGGGGAGTCTGATACAAAAAATGCAAAGAAATCTCTAATGTTACCAGCCTGGTGTGCTCATCTTTGATGTGAACATCTTTGCTTAAATGTCTATTGGGTAGGGGAAGAAGTGGTGGAGGGGAGGGCTCTTGTGTAAAGAAAATGACTGGGTGCAGCTGCGCTCTAAACCAAAACTTGCCCACTTAGTTCTGCTTAAGATAAATGTGAGGAGAAATAGATCTCTTGTGCACACAAAGCTCCTTTGGAATGTGTGTGCTTTTGGAAGGGAGATAAGAAGAGACTGTCTGAGTCACAGAAACATTGTTCTCTCCATTTTTCACCTGCATCCCTGTCCACTAACTTTGGAGCGTAACAGACAGTGGTATTTTGGCCCATAGAAAGATGGTCTTTTGCCAGAGGGGCCAATAAAAAGCCACAGTATGAATAAGTGTGTGTAAAAGTGGCTGGGGAGTAAGTGCAGCTTAAAGTACATAGACCTGGGATGTTTATGTTGAGTTTTATTTTCTAAAGTCATTTATGTGGAACTTGAAAGTTAAATAAGGTTTCAGTGTAAACCTACCCAATTCTAACAGTAAATATCTATCCCTTATCACAGAGTCTTCTGATGAAGATCGATGCTTTCCATTATGTCCAGCTGGGGACGGCATATAGGTCTGTCAGTTCTGAAAATCATTTTCTAAATACCCATATATGCAAAGGTGGATTACTAAATCTGAGTGTATGTTCATGGCATATGGGGTTTTTTTTTGAGCAGAGCACAGTCTTGTCTGGCTTATCCTGTTTGCACTTGCTTCAAATGCTTACCTGGCATATAATTGCAGGGAGTTATTTTTCTCAAGCGTTTCAAGCCAAGTGTGGGTGGGAAGACCTGGAGCTTTTCCTAATGGTTAACAACACATCTGGTCACGTACTCTGCGTGATGTCTGACTTGCAGCTACAGCCTATCTGGATTAACATCTGTGAGCAAATGGTGCAACTAGGAAAGGACTCTGTACATGGTCCACATATGGGCCTGTCTTCTCCAGGCAGGAGTGTATCCCAGCAGTGGTCTGCTGTGCCTTGCCACAAAGCTAAGAGGAGAGTGGTCTGGATGTGCAAATAAAATCTTAAAGCAGTGCAGACGTGTCAATAAACTAATGGTGCACCAGAATCTGGGCTCAGTCTAAGGCCTCGGTTATCCTGTTTTTCCTTCTCTTCTGTTGTTCTCCAAGGAGAGCTGGGTGTGCTTTGGAATAAGTGGCCGAAACAGTGCAGAGCAAACTTTTCTCCAAAAAGTTGTGAGACTGGGAGAAAACCTTGCCCCAGAGTGGAATGGGGTTGGTGTGTAAGAAGTAGTAATTCATAGGTATCGGTAGCAAAACTCCTGTAAATCTGTGTTGTATTTCCTGAGCATGGAAGCAAATGTTGGGGTTTTTTTCTTGAACTCTGCCCTTTTGCTGTTAAGCTTCAGTTACAGTAAACACTCTAAGAATATTAAGAAGGGAGTTTCATAATCAGAGAGAATTGGCTTCTTTTAGTGCTAGCTTCTGGGGGGGTGGGAACGAGGGGTTGGTACTGCCCCATACTTCACTTCAGCTTCATAAAGAGACTTTTAGCTAAAACGCATTTAAACTTTTTTCCCTATTATCTGTTTATAGCTATCCTTCTTGAAGTATCATTTTCCTGAACTGTCCTTCGCTTTTGAGTACAACTGAGGCAACTTTTAACTTCTCAGAGGCTGTAACATGATTGAATAGGAAAGGAGAAAGGGAAAGTTGCTGACTGCTTGAGTAAACAGGCATCAAAAATTGTGCAAGAGGCAAAACCTGCAGCGGTCAGATAACCTGATGTTCACGAATGGTACAGCTCATAGCCATAGCTGCGATTACGGTGTTTTGGGGAAAAACAGTGATCTCTGTTGAATGGTCTTAGCGAAGAACTTGTTTTGCTTAGGAAAACTGAATAGGAAGGAAACCTCATTTTCAGAAAGCTCTTTTCCTACACCTTTGCATTTAACGGTGATATACCTCGTGGAAGCAACCTCTCCAAACCTACAGTTACCCAGTGCTGTCAAAGTCAGGTCGTGGGGCCGATTTGCTGGGGCAGTCCCATCAGCAGATTGACAGCATACAGAGGGAAGCCTCTGTCTGAAATCTCTGCTGGAATGTGGATAAAGCCCCTCAATTAACTTGAAGGAGCAAACAAGGTATCTGAAGAGTGTCTCGGCAAAGACTGTATGTGAATCTTAAGAAACCATGGAGCTGTCAGGCTCTCTCGCTATCTCTTTTGTGCGAGAGAAATTTGTGAGTTTTAGAAAGGAGCCTGTTTGTCCCATCTTCTCTTTCTCTGCAGTTTGTAGCTCTGTGCAGCCTGGTGATTATTGACAAACTATTTCTGTTGTTTTGTGTCTAGAGGGCTCAAACCAGTGCCTGATGAAGAGGTAATCGAACTGTACGGTGGTACGCAGCACATCCCCCTGTACCAGATGAGTGACTTCTATGGCAAGGTATTGTAAGCCCTTTACTGCTATGATGCAGCAGCTCTTTTAACAGCTAGGAAAACAGAGTGAATTGTATGAGCATGTAAATGACTGCAGCCTCCCTTGGACTCAGAAAGGCTCAGTCCCTAGTGAGCTGCAGTGTGTGTTTTTGTTCTAGTGGGAGTTTGCCCCAGAGGTTATTTAGCAGTTTAGCATGTGAAAGCCATCTGCGAAGCATTCCTAAACACCAGGGCTATTGGCCTAGAGCTGAATGGCTCTGGAGACTGATAGGAAGATGTTTCCTGCTTGTTCCTTGGCCAAATCTAGCTCCAAAGCTACCAGGGCAGCCTGCAGTGATGGTGTTTGCAGTGAGTTGTGTGGGAGGGTGTGTGTGTGTGTAGCAGCAGGGTGCTTGCAATGCCTTTCTCTCTTTGGTTTTGGGTAGGGTTTTCTTCCTTCATGGAAGGGATCCCCCTCCACAACCTCTTCATACCTACTCAGTGGATATTATTCACAGGGTTGGCATCCATGAGTGTTGGGGGTTTTTTGGGGGTTTTTTTAGGCAGAAAAGCTTACTGTCACAGTAAATGACTGAAATTCTGTCTGTAGGAGCTGTAGAAATCCTTTGGTTGCCTGAACTAGAGGAAGTCAGGAGAGATTTTTCTTCCTCAATTGTCTAGTGTGGTGCAGTGGGCAAGCAGGGCCGTTCACATCCCTTTCCCCCGAGAACTGCTTTGTTTCTTGCCCTTTGTTAGTTCAGTTGCTTTAGGGGAAGCTGGAAGGAGAAGAGCAGGCTTCCTCTGGTAATACCCCTTTGACTGCTGTGTGAAGTCTCCAGCAATGTCACTTTTTGATTTCTCTCTCTCTCTTGGGAACAATTAATCTGAGTGGTTGCTTTCTGGATAAGTATATACTCTGTTAATAGCTCAGTGTTGTTTCCAGCTTTGAAATAGGATGATTCTGTTTAGAATTTGATATCTGTCTGTAAACTGCACTCGATTAGCCTCCTGCTGTGCAACTCTCCTCACTCCTGGCACACTTGAGATGATTTCACCTTTCATTTTAAATAATTGTAAACGTGAAATCTGCTTTGAGTTGTGGCCTTTTGTAGGACCATGTGCTCATGCCAGGGTGCCTTTCTGTGCTGCTTTGTACGTACCAGATGTTTTCTTCTTTCCTGTAGTTAGTATTGAAAAATTTGGTATAACATTTGGCCATAGAAGTAGGGATAGCAGCTTATTCTTTGCAAAGAGGTGAATCTCCTTTCCTAATAATGTCATGAACTCCATAAACTAATAGGTGGATCCGAAAGAGAACAAAAGTATATACAACTAATGACATTTGCATCCAGCAATGTCTGCTCAACCTGTGCCACTAACACATTAGTGGGAAAGCATCTGGGTTAAGATGACTGCTGGTGTGAGCAGGTGCAATGCAATTGGTGTGGAGTGAGGCTTTAGCAGGGGTCTTTGACCTTGTCCTCCTTAGTCTGCCATGCTGATGTTGCTACCTGTACGGGTAACAGGAAGGTCTGCTGGGTCAGTGATTCCAGGCAGCAAGGCATAAGACAAGCGGGACTGATCTAGCTGAAGCGTGTAAATATTCTCCCTTAAGGGTTTTCTTGATCCTTTGTTGGCAAGGGTGTGCGGACAGGTGCTGGGATCCCAACACCTGCAGTAGGTAGGCACAGATCTCGCCCAGGGTTAGACAACGCAACTAGTGTGGCTTTTGCTGGCAGGACTAGTGCTGACCTGTAATGAAGGTGGGGAAGTTACGGGCGTTGTGGAAAAAGCATACGTAGCATTCTTTCTAAAACTATGGTCCAGTTTTCATCCCGACTTGTGTTAATATGTCTGCTATAAGGAAGTTGAGGCCACTAAAGGGAGGGGGGGAAGCTGGACTTGCCTTGTAGGATGATGGCATAAGGCACAAAAACAAAATCAGAGTTGCCTACCTATGAGGTAGGTCTTTGCTGTTAATATTGAACATTTAACTGTCTCCTCTATGCTTAAGTTCTTGGTGGGACAGGTCATTGCTCTGTTGCACTCTGCTAAATCCCATACTGACTGATTTCAGTAGGAACTGCCTGTCTGTGTCCCTCTTGCTTCTTTCCCAGAATCCCTGAACAGGAAAAAAAGGTGGGGGATGTTTTCAGGAAATTTTGGTTTTGCTAGTGGGAGAAATGTTCCCTTAGCAACCACACATCAAAATGGACAAAAATCCATTGAAAAGATTCAGCGAGTATCGCTAAGCAGCACCACGGTCTGCGATACGTGGCCCAAACCAGAGGGTGTTCTTTGTGTTCTCTTCTGCTGTAGGTCAAGTCGTCCTGTGCTGGATGGATGGGTAGAAATTGTATAACCCTCAGCACACCAACTAGCTTTTGATTGCAGCATTTTTTGGTAACAGACTTCAGGCAAAATGCTGTTTGTTATTCCTTTGCCCTTTTGCATCTTCTTTCTTGACCCCAATTTGTGTTGTCCCGATATTGCCTTTAGATAGTGCTGCAAACAGAGTGCTAGTCTCTTGTTCTACCCTTGTAAGACCAGACTAAATGGGAGATGTTACTGTTGTTACATCCTGACATGACAGTGGCACATGTTTGTCATTAGGCAGCATGTGCCCTCTTGTCAGCTTCCACCATGTGTACCTTCTGTGATCTTTAAGATGCTGCTTTCATGTCTGTCTTTCACATAGCTATAATAAATGCCTTCTGATGTGGACCAGTTGCAACTAGAGAGTTGCAACTTTGCGGCCGTCAGTCATGGATTGCTCAAAGCTCACATGCACAGGCATGATGTGACTGGATTGCCAGGACATCTCTGGTGACTGGGTTCATTGAGGGGTCTGTGTACTTCCCAAATTGCTTTTCATGTACAAGACCTTAGTAACGGTTCCCTTGGCTGATCTGGCACTTCAGCGATGAAAGACAAAAAAAATTGATTCCAGCTTCAGCTTGCCAGTGAGACTTACCATAGTCCTCTGCACAGGTGGTACATACTGAATAAACAAGCTTTATTTTATTGGAAGGCCTCTCTGGAGCCAAAGTTGGCTGTCGACCTGCTGATAGGTTTGTGATTGATAGGCAACAAAAACAGTAAACGTATGGAAGAGCTGCAACCTTGCCTAATGCAAGGTGAGTTATTCCTTGGGCAGGATTTAATCGTCCATTTCCACTTGACTGCTGGGTGGGTTGAAGTTCTTTTTCTTCTTCGTTGTGCCCACTCTGGGTTTTCTGTAGCGACTCAAGGACAGGCAGGCATTGACAAACTGCTTGTTGGAGCGATTCTTGCATTGCTGTGTGAAACCTCACTGGAATGTGGTTACAGCAGCTTTGGTGCCCATGTGTCCCATGTCACAGCCTGGTTTAGATGAGCAATGGGGCACCTCCAGCAAGGGCCATAGCTGCTTCTGTAGCAGAGCATTGTCTCTTGGCACCTGTGGTAATGCCAAGAGGCCAGGTGGGAAGTAGAGGGCATGGGGTTGAAAAAAAAGTTAGTGTCTAGGACTGACTCCCCGCTTCTTCCACCCTCACCCCGTGGTGTTAATGATGTTGGGTTTGTTTAATGATTTCTGTGAAGGAGAAGCCCCTCTCTTGTCAAGTGTTAATGCATTAGGTTAGTGTTTTGGTTGAGAAGAGGTTGAGAGGGTACTTGCTGAGTGGCTGGGACTTTCCGCATTAGTGTTTTTCTTTTTGTTAGCCTGGAATGTCTTCCAGATGGTACTGGGAGATACGACTTTGTTTGTTGGCTTTGCTTTTTTTTTTTTTAAAGTATTTTTTGTTTAATGTCTCCTTCATTTTTTGCTTTCCAGGGTCCATCACTTAAGCAGTTTATGGACATTTTTTCTCTTCCTGAAATGACGCTGCTCTCTTCAGTCATTGATTACTTCATAACTCATGGCATTGAGTTTGACCAGGTGCATCTTTACAAGGATATATCTGTAAGTAAAATGTCAACTGCCCCATAGCTCATACCACATCAGAATTGCGAGCTCTTTGGCTTGTTAGCACCGGTGAGCTCTGCAGTGCCCAAACCTAAGGGGCTGTTAGTGAGTAGCCTAATATGACAGTGTTGTTGCCCCTTTAGATGAAAGCATTACCAGGGAATATTCAAAGCTGTGTTTTCAGAACGTGTTAGGTTTCTGTCTGTACTACAGAGTTGGTGTTGCTGTACATTATCTCTTGCAGGAGTGCCTAGGCTGGTTAGGCTGAAGGTCCTTCTATGGGAAATATGTCACAAAGCTTGTGTAGATGTTTTCTGGTTCTGCAGAATTTTAAGCTCTGTGTTTTCCTGTTAATATTTCATTTTTCAGAGAGGCTTGGTCTGACCATGTACCAAACAATTTGCTTTACACAGTGATTTTTGTGAAACACCTGCCCTTGGCTGCTCTGAGAATCCACCCCTTCCCTTTGCAGCTACAGAGTAGTCTGATCCTTTTGGGGTGTTTTCCAGTGGGTGACTGTAGCCTTCAAGAGCCAGTTACTCCAAGGTGCTAACTGTGCCCTCCAGCTTCACTCCTGGCATTTGAAAGGGCTGCGTGGGATTATCAGCATTGTTAGGGGGTACTGTTTGACTTCTTAGTTAATGCTGTAGGCAAGATGTAAGTGCTTGAGATTGCTGCCCTGGGTGACTTTTGTTGACAGACAATGTGTCTTCCTTAGTAGGAATCGCATGCCTTTTTCCATGGAGAGGGGTTTTTGATTTCTACCTTATGGGAATCTTACGCTCATCCACTGGTAGCGGCCCATAGGTACACTCTTCAGTCTTTTTGTGAGGGAAATGGAGCCCACATCTGTGCTGCTTCTTTTGTGATAAGGATCCACCCTGTCAGCTTTGCTGCAGCCAAGGATTACAGCTTACCTTCTGACCTTCTGTTAGTGCTTGATAAGAACGTGCTAGCCAGTTTCCCACAAGACCTTAACATGTTTCTAAGGTGTTAGTTGTTGTAGTTGTTTTTGTTCTTGGAGTGGGGAAAATGGGAAGAGGGGATACAGCTGAATCCTGAGGCCTTTTGTCAAGAGTGTCTTCTGAACCTTCTTTGGAGGTCAAAATGGACTTGTTCCTAATGGAAATCTTGAAGGCAGGTGGGTGGTTGCCATAGCCTAATATGTACTCCATACAGGGTAAACAGTGTGCTCAAGGCCCAAAACTCCTGAGTGCTAATCCTGGCATTTGTCTTCGCATCCTTTGCTGAGGGATGTGGTTATTCCTGAGGAGTGACTGAGGTAGGCAGAGAAGAGAGCTCCAACAGAAAATCTGTGCCAATGCCTGACGTCTATACTGAAAAGGTGGGGACTGCCCTGTGTTCTCACCAGAGGAGTTCTTGCTTTTTTCTGTACAATGAGGATAAACAAACACTTTTGCAAAACTTATCCCTTTGCAGTATCCGAGTGCAAGCACAAAGCAATGGTTTGCGGACATGAGCACAGAGATCCTTCTGTGCCTGCACAGACAGGTGTCCGAGAGGACTTGCATAGCCCCAACTGTTACTACAACACAGGCTCACAGTGGATTAAGACGTGTCTAAACCTGACACTTCTGTAATTCTTAGTGGTAATCCTGATTGCAGCACTGTGTGTTTGGGAGCAGGTTGAGTGCTACAGACGCTGCACTGAGTCGAAAGGGCAGACCCTGAGGCAATGGTAAAGGTTGAAGCTGACATGTAAATCAAGTAGTCAGGTCACACCAGTTTGGTCGTTTCGTATTTGAGAGTAAGAACATACAGTTTACCCTGCTTTCCTTTGGAGGAGTTTTTGAGCCCTGTTTGACACCTCCCCAGACTACCAAGATTTTACCTGCAGGAACCTTATAGTTCTTCCCCTTTCTTTTTCTCTTTCTTTTTCTCTTTTCAGAAAGAATCTCTTTCTCCTCTGCAAAGGTAATTTTGACACAAATCCAAAGTGTTGCTTGCTTTTAGTGCCAGTGCTGGTCAAGAGAAAGTTGTTTTCTTGTTAGTGCTCTTGCTTTTTATTTGGTTTCTTTCCAATAAGGCAGTCTCTTGGTGAATGAGATGAGACCTCTGCCTTTTTATGATTCAAATGCACATGGTGAAAAGAGACTCCTAAAACTGTTTTGAAGAGGTGCCGCCTCCTCCTTCATCGTCCCTCATCTAAGTGGTACATTCTGGTTCTCTCCCAGCTTTGAAGGAAATGATTTTTGGGGTGGTGAGCAGGTTTCACCAGCGCTGCAGTGAGACCAGGTGACTGTGTGGTCTCGTGTGCAAGTGTCACTGTAGCAATGTCAGTGGCGAGTGTGGGAATCCAGTCTGAAAGGGAGACTCCCGAAGGAGCACACGTAGCGTAACAGTGATTTAAGAGTCCTGGGGAAAGGCAGCATTTGTTTACCTGTCTAAATTGGCGGGGATGAAAACAGTACTGTTAAAACAAGCATTTGCGTGTGCAAACGCTGCAAAGTGTGTTGTTGCTCTGGAAACAGTTTTGTGTGTCTGGCGTATCTCATTGGATGGAGACTTGGGAAGAGTCTCAGTTGGGTGTGTCCAAAAATGTGTTGCATCTTGGCCTCTGGCCTGGAAAATAGAGGATATTTGGATGCCCATGACAATATCTGTTTTAACTTGCCTCCCTCCTGAAAAGTGGGCAGCTCTCTTGGCAAAAAAACCCTCACCCTCCTAGTGGAAGCTTCTGCTCTGCCTGTGCCCACTGGCAGTCCGGGGCCAGGAGCTGTAGCCCTCCTTGGCTCGCGGGGAGCGTTTTGGAATCACAGATGCTCACCTCTACTGCTGTTCGCCTCAGCCATGCTCCTATCCTTTGGGTCACATTTGGCAGAGCTTCCACAGGCATAGGGAGGAAGAAAAGCCAGCTAGTGTCTGGGCCAGTATGGTTTTGGGGCAGTAAACGGTTTTGGAGTTGCACAGTCTTGATTGCCGTGGTAACAGTGTGTTAACATGTGCTGGTTTCCAAGAACAGGAAGGAAGCTGTGCTTTCATGGATAGGTTTTGAGCTTTTTCCCCTTGTACTGCATCAGCTGAGCTAGCCACTGTGTTCTTTTTGACATGTTGGTGAGCATTGCTGTACAAGGTCCTCTGCTTAGCATTAATGTAGCTTTTGTTCATTCAGCAAGAAGAGAGGATGTGTCATTACTGTGTTGGTCCTCAGTGGTGGCAATAGGTTTGCATGCTGGGAAGCAGTAATGACATATGTAAAACTGAAACTTTTTTTCCCTGCCCTTTTCTTTAGGATGCTATTAGAGATGTACATGTGAAAGGAGTGATGTACAAATGGATTGAAAAAGATCTGGGTGAGTTAAGTAGAGCTCTGGTGCCAAATCCATTTTGATGTGTCTCATACTACATGGCGTTCTGTGTAAGATGACTGTGTAGGCCCTACACGCAGTCACAGGAGTCAGGGGGACACAGAAATTAATGAAATACTTGACTGTGGCGTGCCTAAAGGCAGCTGAGGGGTAGAGTGGCATTAAGAACCAGGGGGTATTTAGGGTCAGGTGGAGGATCTATTTTAATGGAGGAAACGGCTATCTCATTGCATGTGTTTCTGTTTTCCTTCAGCCTGTAAGCAAGGGGTGATGGTCTTTGGCATGATGTAAACATGCAAAGACACCATCTGTGAAGGCTTCCTGGTCATTCAGGGGAAAGAAAGCTCCTGGTAGCAACATGGCCTGGAGCGGCTGTGCCTGTCCCTTGTGACGGTTTGGTATCAACCCTCTCTTTTTGCCAGCCTTTTCAGTTCCTCAGTCTTTCTCTTCCCTCTAGATGGGATTGATGAGGAAGGCCATTTTGTCACCATGGTGGTTTACTGCCTGCCTGCTTGAGGTGGATCTAACTCAGGCCTTTTGCGTCCCTATTGGCATAGGGGTTAGGTTTGTTTTTATTTTTAAAGAAATGTTGTCATGACTTATGCCAACATTTTTTGATTGATGATTTCTGTTTTATTCCGATATAGAACAGTATATTCTGCACGGGGATGAAATCTATGCTGTGCTAAACCGACTGGTGAACCATAAGAAGAAACTCTTCCTCATTACAAACAGTCCCTTTAGCTTTGTGTGAGTACCATTATTGCACGTCGATGGGTCACCATGGCACAGCAAGAGTTGTGCAGTGCGGTCTCTTCTGTGAGCATCTGAAAGTCGTACGCTAGAGGTTTTTGTGACAATAGGCATGAGAGCGCTCTCTGGGAACCGGTTGTGGTGAATGTTGCACCCCACAGTTCTCTCTGCACCATTGACTCTCACTTTTTGAAGAAGATATGAGGCTGTGGCTGGCTACAACGTTACAGAACTGCCACTTTGGATTACCTCTAGCAGCTTTTGCTGCATCACAGACTTCTCTGGATTTTCCCATGGTACAGGAGAAAGGGTGGGACAGCTTGAAACAGTCAAAGCACTACATTGATCCTCCATGCAATGAGACAGCCTTGGGGGATTCACAAATCTCTATGCTTTCTTCTCTATTACTGAAATGAGAGTAAATTTAGGACAGACTGTTGTAAAGGTGCAAAGTTGGGTGAAAAAGAGTACTGGATCTGTTAACTTTTCTGTTCCTTTGCCCTTAGGGACAAAGGAATGAAACACATGGTTGGCAAGAACTGGCGGGACTTATTCGACATGGTCATTGTGCAAGCTGACAAGCCCAACTTCTTCACTGATCGGCGGAAGTACGTGTCCTGGGGCAATACTGCACTGCTGCATGTGGGCCTGAGGTTTGGGTCCCCTTCCCTGGCGTAAACAGCTCCTTTTACCTTCCGAGAGAGTAGTGGTTTTCTAAGCATAATCTAGGTCCAGTAGGCATCCAGCCTACCGCTGCCCTCTCAGATACTCTCTTAGTCTGGGAATAAGTGGATGGAATGCCAAGCAGAAAGCACGTTTCCAAAATTGGCTGTCTTAAGCCTCATCAGTTTTGTTGTGGTCCGGGCTTAACTTAGATTTTTAGAGGTAATAATGTACTTAAGTATTTAGAAAGAAAAGAGGAGTGGAATGGTGTGTATGAGAGCTGGCCATTTCTTGGCTCTAGGTCTTGAGAGTGTGCCAAAACCTTTCCTTTTCTTGTTCCCCACAGTAAATATCTGTGTCGTTTGTTTTTTTGGTTTGGTTTTTTTTTAGTTACTGGATACATGCTGTTTGGTAATTGGCAGCTCTGGAAGCCTTTGTACGTGGCAGCTGGGTTTTGTGGTCAGTTAGGAGCTACCAAGGGACTAGCTGATAGGCAAGCTGCTGTCCTCACTTTGCTCTTTGGATTATTGGCTTTGGGAACTTGTGTCTGCTTTGTTGCCTCAACTTATGACTGACCAGGAATTACTGCCCTTGAGGGAGAGGTCTATTCTTTCCTCTTTATGTATTTTCTTCCCCTATTTCCCAGGCCACTAGCATAAACAGGAGAAAACCTATGAAATGGCTTTATAAGCTGTGCTGACCTTGTAAAGGTTTTCTTCATGGGATGTGGGTGAAGTGTCTCACAGATGTAGCCTGGAGCTATGATGATCTGGCCCTCTAGGAGATAAAACCTTACAGCTGCATGATGCCTAAGGTCCACTCATGTAGTGGGCCAGTGGAATGACAGGGCACATACATCCAAGGTGAGGGGAATTTCCTGATGGTGAGCTGTAGTGAACTGTGGAGTGTTTTTTCTGAGGGAAAATGCAGGTATGCACTGGAGACCACTCGTGGTTGAGGAGTCTCTTGTGCGGGTAGGCTCTAGAGTTCATGGTGGGAGGCTGGATTCTTCTGCCCTAAGGCAGCTCAGGATCATACAATACTTCTGGATGAGATCGTACTCTATTTGCAGCTTCATACCAAGGCTTTTGATCCCGGAGCTCAGTTTGGAACTTCTATCCCAAGAGGGAGCAGTGCTCCCATCAAGCATGAATGTTCATGGGGGTCAAGTAACTTAAGCCTTGTTTTGTTTCTTCTGTCCAAGTGGAAGGGAGCCAGGCAAGCCCTCAGGAACAACAGGAGCCAGCTTGGGTCAGCTTCTGAGATCAGCACTGAGACTGCTCTCCATCCACTCTGCAGACTGCTTTATCCAATTAAGACATTCCACAGTCTCTGTTGTGCTGCGGCGTAGCCAGGCTGGAACAGGACACAAAGTGTTTCATGGCAAAGCCTTCTTGGCTTTAGCGTTTCAGAGGGAGTCTTTATTATTATTATTTTCCTCTTCTCTGTATCTGAAGATACAGATGAAGCAAGATAAAGATACAGATGAAGCAAGAAGAGTTGTTAGGGGTATTGGCATGAAATGGTTACAGTCAGTGGAACCATTTTGAAAAGTTATTTCCCTCTGACACTTTCTCTTCCTGAGAAAATAGTGCAGAGGGCCCAGAAGGTCGCTTCTCACGTAGAGCTTTTATTACGAGTTGTTACACAGGTAAACAAGTTTTCCGATTCAAATGTTGTGGTTGCTGGGTGACAATCACCAAAAATCAAAAGAAGTTCACATCTCCCCCCTTTTTTTTCCAGACCTTTTCGAAAACTGGATGATAAAGGCTCACTGCAATGGGACAAAATAAACCAGCTGGAGAAAGGAAAGATCTACAAAGAGGTAAAGTGAATGGGTGTGTAAGGAGTATGAAGCAAGAGTCTGAAATGGTGGGAACTTAGAAGACACCTGCACTTTTGGAAGTCACTGGAAAAGCCTGGAAGTCACTGGAAAACAGGAAAATCTGCTTAGTCAGGGTGGGGAGAAACGCTGGGTTCTTCTGTAGGTCACTTGTGGGTGTTTGATGTTTGAAAAGTGAAAAATGGAAGTCCTTGAAAAGAGCGCCTGTGATAGTTAGAGGACATTTGTAAGAAGACATGCGCTAGGCTCTGTGTGCTGCGTTGGCTGGTGGCAACAAGAGATGCCCCCTGTCCATGTGCAGAGAGCTCTTGCTGGCCCGGTAGGACACTGTCCCCCCGAATGCTTTCAGCATGCCTCTGAAAAGTCTTTCAGCTTCTGCTGGGATGTAAGCATTAGAACAAAGAGTCTTTTCCTATATCGGAAAGCCCTTCCAAGGCCTGTGTTGCCTGTCTGTGTGCGATAAACCGACCTCTGAGGATGGTGAGAGATGCTTCATGACAGGTGTAGAAAAGGCTGCTCTCCTGGCAGTCACAGCTTTTTACAGTTGCAGGAGGCAGAGCTGAAATAAGGTGTAACAGAGCTGCCTGGTAGGAAAACTTTTTGCCTGCAGCTCTGAAAGTTTCCTACCCAGCTCTGTGGCGGTTATGCTGCAGAAAGGTATGTAACAGGAGTGATGTATTCCACCCAGCTCAACTGGGCTTGGCATTAGAGATGGAGGGACAGGGACAAGGGGGAAAAGGCAGAGCGGGGCCAGTTAACTGAGGGTGTTGGGTGCTTGCCTTTCTGCCCAGGAGGACCTGTGCTGAGTTATCTGTGCCAGGCTGAGTTTTTCCCTGCTGCTGCCCTGTTTGTGTGAGAAGGGGTAGTGGGGAAACATCGTCTGCATGTGTAGCAAGGGTCAGTGAATGCCTCCTGCCCCAGTGTACAATGAAACCTTCGCCCTAGGAGCTCTGTTCTGACATTGCCCAGTGTGCTGCACTGGACAAAGTGCAGCTTTCCTTTGGCTCTTCTGACATCCTGGTCCTGAAACTCTTGTCCTGGCTGGGCTCCCAAGAGCACGCTCGTTCAGGGTAAGAAGGCAGAGCTCTCTGCAATCTGATGTCTATGCAAAGATCTTCCACGCCTCAATCCAAATTGTCCTCCATAAGGTTGGAAAAGGTGGACTTGTAGAGGAGGGAATAGAGAAACAAGGGTGATCAAATAGGGTACAAAGCCTGGCTCCCGTCTCTCTCCCCTTCCTGAAGGACAAGCATGTCCAAAGGATAGGCTGTTACTCTGGTGAACTTGCTGCCTTGGGGTATTCTCCTTGCAGCTGGTCTGTCCCCTGAGAACAAGTTGCTTCTGGCTTTAGGACCGTTTGTTCTTGGTTATGTGAGGAGTCCAATCCCATGGGAAGAAACTGTTAGTGAGATTGCGGTCAAGTAGCTGGGACCTGACCTGCGGCAGAAAAGTAGGTCACGTCCTTGAGTAGTGCTGTTGGGAAGCCTCTGGCCTGGCTGGTGGCTCTGCCAAAGTGCTCTGCTAAGCATCCCATCCTCTGCCAAGAGCTAGGAGCTGGGAACGTGCAAGTAGAGCTCATACAAAGTTTCTCTCCCATGGGCAAACTTTCCCGGTGGGGTAGCAGCTCCCTCAGGAGAAAAGGTGCACCTCAGCCATGGGTTTATTGCTGAATTAAATCCTGCTCTTGGCCACCTACATCTTGTGGCCACTGGTTGCTCACCCAAGTGAATGGTGCATCGAGGAAAGGAAAAGATGAGGAAGGAGGGATGGGTAGGATTTTGGGCTCCTCTCCAGTTCTCCCCCACCACGACATTCATCTGACTGCATCAAGGTTGTTAGGCCTAACTGTGGTTCTTGGAATGTGACAGAGTGTGTACCCTGGTTGTAGTCCACCCCGTCCCCAGCATTTTTGGTTTCTTGGAGTGCCACAATATGCTTCTTTCTGGCAAGTGTTAGTGGCCATGGACCTTGCTGTGCTGGTGATGTTGCTAGAGGCCACTGAGCTGACTTGTTCCTGTCCCCTGAAGCACAGCTGTGGATATTTCATATGAACGGGACCTCAGGGTGTTTTGCACTGGGGATTGGGAAGTTCAGGTGATGGCCCTCTAGTCCCTCCTTTCTGATAGATGTGGTGTTTTCTGGTTGTGGCACGTACGTACTCGCATCCCTCCCCTAGTCTGCGATCTCAGGAGAGGAGGAGGACAGCCTGCTCCTGGAGGTCACGTAACAGGTCTGTGGCGGCCCAAGCGCAAGTTTCCTGGTTGTCAGGTCCACTATTGTTTGAGGTGACCAGAGCACAGCAAAAGGACCGTCCTCCTCCCAATGCTGTGGTCCATTTCCCTGCTCTGCCAGTGGCTTCCTGAGCAACCCTCAAGCGAGCAGAAGCAATGTCGTGTCCAGGAAATGCAGAGGCCTGCCTGGCCCTGTGTTTCTGTGCTGTTAAGGGAAGTCTGCACAGCTCCAGGGATGCTGCAGCAAGAGGAGGCCCAGCACTCTGGTTCTGGGCACCCTTTGCAGTGCATACAGCATGTTGCCAGTGGCCACATGCAGGGCTGCAGGCTGTTGTGGGAACTGGCTTGTGTTTGGGGGTTTTCTGTCCGGGCCAGTGCTGTGGGGCAGGCATGCTAGCTCTTCCCTGGCACTGGGGACTGGCTGGAGAGATTGCTGCCAAATGGCTCGCAAGTTTGCATTGATTGCTTGTGCTGGCACAGCCTAGTCTGCTGGCATTGATGGGGCCTTTTCCTTTCCTAGTGGGTTTTGTTTCCGTTGTGACTCACGTGGAAAACTTGTGTGGAGATGGAAGGGGAGGTCCCTGAAGTCTCTGTGTGCGGATGGATGTTTGGAAAGCCTTAAAAGCTGCTCTGTGCTGGCGCTTTGGGGGTTGGTTTGTTTTACTTAGCTGTGAATCTGCCCAAGCTGCCTGGCTTTTTGGCTTGGTTAAGCAGTTCCTGTGAACATGTGGGTGTTGTTAATCTTTCGGGTTGGGATGGTGGTCAATGACGGTAGAACAACCTCAAGAGCTCCTGACTCCGAAAGCCTTGCATGATGGTGCTCACCTTACCTCTGATGTACTCTGTGAGGCAAAATCATTATCACCTGAGCCCAACAACTTCTAAACCCAGAACACCTGGGATTCTTTCTGTCCATCACTCAGGCTTTTCTAATTTAGGTGTCTTTGACTTTTGGCCTCTAAACTGCCTCCTTTTGTTGCCTTTTTAGTCCATGTAGTCTTCTTGACTTGCTGTGCCCTAGAGCACAGAACTTCCCCTGAATTGCCGATTGGGTTTGGAAGAGTTTCTGCCTTATTCTGTAGCCTAAGAAAAGCTGAAGGATGTACAGGGCGGTTGTCACATGGGAAGAAAGTGAAATAGGGTGGGGAAGGACAGAAACCTCTGGGTTTGGATGGTGGGGGAGTGAGCAGGTTGACATCTCATGAGAGTGCTCACATCTGCATGCGGTAAGGTGGCACGTCCAGTTGCGTTGACAGCGCTGCTGGGGTAGCTGCCCGGTACCATGCGGTGAGGATGGAGGCATCTGGCCTGTAACCACGTTTCTCTCTGCGCTCCTTTTACTTGCAGGGTAACCTCTTTGATTTTCTGAGGCTGACGGGTTGGCGTGGGTCCAAAGTGCTCTACTTCGGCGACCATCTGTACAGTGACCTTGCGGTAAGTGGAAAGGTCTCTGCTCTCCAGTGAGGTGGGAGCAAGCCTGCGTGACTGTTGTGGTTGCAGCTGTGTTGGAGTGTAAGGCAGGGCCCTGATCCGAGTGCTCAGGTCTCTGCTATGCTGTGCTGGGTGCTACGCTGTGCTGGGTGCTCTGCAGGCTGTGACTGTCGGGGCACACACAGGACACACAAGCATCCCCACTCTGCTGTCAGGCAGAAGCAAGCAGTGGAGAAAGGGCTCCTGAAGTACTTTCTGTGGGTAAAGAACATCTGCTGGTCTGTGAATTTGAGAGCAGTTTCTAGGTGCTTCACGCACCTGATCCTGGTGACCAGGAGATGGCTGTTACTGGCATGACCTGGCATGGGCCATGGATGCCTGTCCCCTGAGAATCTATAATGGGAACAGACCACTCTTCTAGGAAACGGGGTTGTGTTTAGCTTTCAGTCTTTATGTTGAATTCTTGGTTGTTTTTTCACCCTGACCTCTAGGACCTCATGCTGCGTCACGGCTGGAGGACTGGAGCCATCGTTCCTGAACTGGAGACGGAGATTCGGATCATAAACACAGAGCAGTACATGCACTCTCTGACCTGGCAGCAGGCTCTGACGGGGCTGCTAGAGAGAATGCAGGTAAACAGCTCCTGTCTGAGCGAGACAGGTAATATGCAGCCTTCTGAGTCTGCGTTTTGGGCTTAGCATGGGAATCGGGGGATGTACCATCTTGCCTGTGTTCTCGAAAATATCTCACGCACCTCCTGGTGCAGTGGACTCGTGGGTTTGTGAGTTACAGTGGAAACCGGGGGGAGCTGAGGTGTGGCCTGCAGGACTGACGCAACGTGGTGCTTTCTGCTGTTGCCTTTGCAGATGTATCAGGATGCGGAGTCAAAGCAAGTATTGCTGGAGTGGATGAAGGAACGTCAGGAGATCAGGTGAGCGTTGTCCCCCTCACTCATGAGGTCTCTTAGGGGTTCCCAGGCCTGCACTAGGTCTGTTTTGTAACCTGTTTTGGGGACAGGGGTGCTGCAGCTGTTGGCCTGCGGTCCTCCCTGCTGTCACTTGTCTTGGGGGGGGCGGAAAGCAGTGGTGTAGTCCTGCATCCTGGGAGGTTGGACTGGTTTGAAGGCAGGGTGGGAGAGGGGAGGTGGTGTCACCCTGTGCTGGGGGGGTCTGCTGCTGCAGCTCCTGGCACTGGGGGTGGGTCCCTGCCCATAACAGGTACGGTAACAAGGAAGAGTAAGAGTGCATTGAATTTTCATCACAGTCTCACTGCACAGGGACTGGTCTGCATTGCAGCCTGGGTGGGAGGGTACTTAGGGTGATCCCAAAACCTCTTCTGGGAGTCGGGTGGCCCAGGGCTGAGGGATTGGAGAGGGTAGAATCTGTGACCATGGCCTTTTGTCTACAGTGCACCATCTCTTTCCTCTCAGGTCGCTGACGAAGAACCTGTTCAACCCCCAATTTGGAAGCATCTTCCGTACCTTCCACAACCCCACATACTTCTCTCGACGGCTGGTGCGGTTCT